GCATGACACATAAAAAGTCATACAAAAGTCAAGAAGAAGGTCTCTGCACTGACTCCTGTGGCTCCGAGAACAGACTTTAAGATTAAGACTAAGATTAAGAAATCCTTTATTTGTCCCACAGTGGGGAAATTTCAGTGTTGCATCACAAGTTATAGAATAGTAGGAAAGAGGAGCACACAGCACACCTGAACAATAGTTGTCCTAATTAAAATAAAACAAAATCTCTAACTCTAGCCTCAATAATAAGTATAAAAAACTCTATCTTGAAAATAATGATAGATCATTTTATATAAAGTACTGTGTATTCTAGTGCAAATAAAGTGTGGTTATATGTTAGCATCTGTACATTAGCAGCAGTATGTTTACATCTGAACATTAGCAGCAGTGTGTTTACATCTGTATATGTTAGCAGCAGTATGTTTACATCTGTAAATTAGCAGCAGTGTGTTGCACATTCCAATATTAGATAGGGATATTGCACTGGTAAAAAATAAGGATATTGCAACGATGCATAAGACATGAAAACAGGTTGGAATCAGGTTGGCAATGTTCATTAGACCTTATTGTTTGTTGTACAGTCTGACAGCAGCAGGAAGGAAAGACCTGCAGAACCTCTCCTTCACACATCGAGGATGAATAAGTTTGTCACTGAAGCTGCTCTCCAGAGAGAGTGTCCTGCAGGGGGTGACAGTCATGGTGCAGCATAGATGTTAGTTTGCTCAGGACCCTCCTGTCCCCCACCTGCTGCACTGTGTCCAGGGAACAGCCCAGGACAGAGCTGGACTTCCTGATGACCTTGTCCAGCTTCTTCCTGTCCCTCTCTGTGATGCTGCTGCTCCAGCAGATCACACCGTACAAGAGGCTGATGCCACCACAGACTCAAAAAAGGTCTTTAGGAGTGGCCCTGCACTCCAAAAGACCTGAGCCTCCTCAGCAGGTAGAGTTGGCTCTCATCCCTCCTAACTCATTAGCATGTCACTGACCTTGTCCCAAGTTAGGGCGTTGTTAGGACCCGCACTCCACTTGAGCATCCCAGCAGACAATAGGTCTGTGACATGCTGAGGAGTTAGGGTCGTTAGCCTCAGCAGGGTCGTTAGACCTGCTCCCTTCTACATCAAGCAGACCTTAGATTGTTTATGAGTTAGTATCAGGATTAGGGTGTGGCTAACCACACCCATAGGTTATAAATCTCCAACGCGCGGTCTGAGAATTCATTCCCTGAAGAAGTCCTTAGGATTGAGGACGAAACGTCGGGAAAACCTGCAAAGAAGTACAGATGATGCAGGGTGAGAAACCTTCCTTTGCTTTCCCTGGATGTTCACTGGAGCTGGAGCGGCAGAGTGACGTCTGCAGAAATGCAACATCATCTCCTTGGTCTTCCCCGCGTTGATGGGGAGGTGGTTCCGCTGACACCAGTCCACAAAGTCCTGTATAACTCCTCTGTACTCTGTGTCATCGTCCTCGGAGCTGAGTCTGATGATGGCAGAGTCGTCAGAGAACTTCTGTTGGACACAACTGTCTGTGTTGTGTCTGAAGTCTGCAGTGTAGAGTGTGAAGAGGAACGGCGCAAGGACAGTCCCCTGGGGGGGGCCACACTGCAGGTCAGGACCTCAGACCCAAAGGGTTCTCTCAAACTGGGGTCTGCTGGATGGTGTTGAAGGCGCTGGAGAAATCGAAGAACAGAATCCTCACATCCGGGTTTCTCTAGGTGGGACATCGAGCTTTGGCCTCCCTCACTGAAGTTTTCACATGTCTCTGAACGCTGTCGAGGATGAGGCAGACAGAGACGGATCGTGGTGTGCCAAACTCTGGAAGTTTATTTAAGTTTCTCTCAAGTTCCACTGGTTTACTTTGTTTCTTTCTCTCAGACAGAATAAAGGCAGTACACAGTTTATATAGTCATTGTCACGTCACACATCGAAAGACGTACGTGTCACAAAGCGACAGTCACATCATAGTCATAACATGGAGTCCTTGTACAGTCCTGCACGTAGGCCATATTGCTATCTAATACTAACACCCTCCCCTTTGATCACATAATCACATGTGATCACTCAATTTGATCAATCAATAAAGTGGAAAAAGAAAAAAAAATCCAAAAAATGTATTTAAAATTAAAAAAATTATTAAAAACAAAGAAAATGTATGCATTGGACTCATAATCATCAAATCAATATCAGTGGATTTTATCCTCTATCCTGGGAAAAAATAAACAAACAAAAAACAAATCAAAAATAAAAACAAACAACACTATTGGACACACAAGAACTCAGCAGATTCAGTCAAAACACAGACAAAAACGAGCTGAGTCTCAAATTAGAAGCTAATTTCACTTTTATTACTCTATACCTTTATTCTAATGATAATTGTTTACACTTCACTTATTTCACTGTATTATTTTCACTTATCAATCTTAGACTGTGTACTTTACTTTTACTATCACTATAGTTTAAAACTATTCTAATCTATTTACAAATATGTTTGCATATTTGCTTCTATTGAGCCATATTCTTAAACATACATTTTAATCTAATAAATCTCTCTATACTGTATTATACTCTCATTATCAGTGGCTTATTATCAGTGGGATTTTGCTCTATGTCTACTCTACATTCTCAGGAATAAAACTGTGAACACAGTAAGGCAAATGGTCAACATTTACACTTCTATAGTGGTCAGTGATTTATTACTTTTTATTATCAAAGATATTATTGTCAGGCAGTTTGGGATGAATGAACATCATTAATCAAATTAGTATTATCCTAATAGTAGCTAATTAGGTTTGGGGTTGGGGTCAGTTATTCTACAATGGTGTTTGAATTCTGATTCTAATCTGTGCTGATGAATCTACAGCTTTTTAAACTTCTCAAAGATATCTAAATATCTACTATTGTGTTTTTGGGCTACACCCAAATGCATCAAAATGCTTTTGAATCTCTGTTGGTTGTAATCTAGGCATTAATCTAGGCTACACTCATATGAACTTTTTGCATTGTCAACATTCACTCATGTTTGAACACAAGTGAATTTGGAAGGTATCTAATAAAACTGTACATAAACTGTAATGAACTTTATCTACTTTTGAAGTAAATGTTTGTGAAATGGTCCCTTTACCATTTGATATTAGCACTGGCTAAGAATATTCTCTATTTTTGAAAGCATCTATGGTTGATGCATTTATCTATTCCTATTTTTACGCTATTTTTTAACTCCAAAGCTCGGTTGCAGCTTGAGCAAAGGCATATTTCTAGTTTGTGACTTCTGTCACTTTTAATGGCTGTAACATTATTCTGATTCTAATATTTTAGCTGCTCTATCAAAAGGATAACATTGTATGGAACTATTTTAACTCTTATGTGGAAATGTGTTTATGAAACACAAAGGAAATCGAATTCTACTTTTTTACTACTATTTAACATCTACTAAAACGCTACAATACCCATACTTTATCATTTTCAAAGTTTTTGTCTGTCAGATGTCTGAATACTTATCATGTATATTGCATTTGTCACAGTTGTGGTTCTGGTTGTAGCAATAGCATCGGCAATAGACGATTTTCATTGGCTGGTTCTTGTTCTGCAAATGGCTGTGTCCAATAGATCATCAGATGTTCAGAAGCTAGGGACAAACAAAAACAAAAGAAAGAATCATGAGTATCTCTCTCATTTAGTACTCATCAATGTATTATTTTAAAAATATAAACATCACTCCCCCAGTTTTTTCTCTCTCAGATCCTCAGGTCCTCAGGGTCCTCAGGTCCCCAGGTCCTCAGATCCTCAGGGTCCCCTGAGGGTGAGTCTCAGTCGTCATCAGGTCAGGTCATATTTCGAGAGATGTCATCTTGGACATCAGTAGGGTCCAAGCCATGGTTCTGGTCTCTCCAGATGCACATCAGGATCTCCAGATACAGTCTTTTTGACAAATAGAATTCAAATGAACATTTCTGGGTCTCAAAAAATACTGATTCACTAAAGATTCAAGTGAAGACAATTAAAAAATATGTGTTTACATTGGAGTAAAACTTTTTAAATGCCTTTTCTCAGGTTTGCTGTTTATTGTATCTTCTGTAAATGTGAATGTGAGAGTGTATGTGTGTGTAAGTGGTGAATTTTGGGGGTCTCTCCGCACCTGGAACCCACCCTGTAGGTTCTCTCAAAGGTCACACTGTGGTGATGTAAACCAACTGGACTACACTTCTCCTCCAGGTCTCTGCCTGCCTGCTCCACCCATCACGGTCTCCAGCCACCTTTCTCACCCCGGTCTCTCTCACACCACTCAGTTCTGCAGTGGCGTGGGAGGGGCAAGGAGGTGGCATTTCCCTTTGCTCTTTGTATCTGCTGCCTGTGGCGGGGTGGGCTTTGCGCTGTCCAGTGTCCAGCAGTGACCCCTCCCACAGAGTGCCAGAGTCTGAAAAACAAATCCTTGAAACAGCCAATTAAAAAAAAACAATAGATATCAGTATGCGAATGCGCTAGTTTTTCTCTCTGAAGTCAAAAACACTATGAAGCGCTCTGGGTTTTCCCAAGCGCTAAGTACATAAAGATTATTATTTCTATACTACATGATGACATTTTAAATACCAGCAATAAAGAAGTTCTCAAAACAAACAATAATATCAAAACAAACAACCTTTTAAACTTTAAAAAACATGTATTATATTACTTTTGTACTGTTGTTACTTATCTATGCGTCCTTGGGTTTCTTGAAAGGAACGCCATGAAATGAAATTATGAAAAATCTCTATCCAAAGAACATTAATTTGAAAAAAATTTACAAACCAACTTGGGAAATCAAACAAAAGATTTAGCTCCAGCTAAACGCGATTGGTTCAAATAAACATTCAATTGTGCGTCGGACGTGCCTCTCATGTCTCTGAGCGCGCAAGGTCAGCGTGTAGTCAAAACACAAATAAAACGTCACCGCTTGAATGTGAAATTGGGTGAATAGGGAAGTTTACTTCATAATATACACCTTTTCCAGCCTAATTCCCCTCTTTCTTTTTACCCCCCCCCCCCCCCCCCCCCCCCCCCCCCCCCCCCCCCCCCCCCCCCCCCCCCCCCCCCCCCCCCCCCCCCCCCCCCCCCCCCCCCCCCCCCCCCCCCCCCCCCCCCCCCCCCCCCCCCCCCCCCCCCCCCCCCCCCCCCCCCCCCCCCCCCCCCCCCCCCCCCCCCCCCCCCCCCCCCCCCCCCCCCCCCCCCCCCCCCCCCCCCCCCCCCCCCCCCCCCCCCCCCCCCCCCCCCCCCCCCCCCCCCCCCCCCCCCCCCCCCCCCCCCCCCCCCCCCCCCCCCCCCCCCCCCCCCCCCCCCCCCCCCCCCCCCCCCCACCCCCCCCCCCCCCCCCCCCCCCCCCCCCCCCCCCCCCCCCCCCCCCCCACACCCCCCCCCCCCCCCCCCCCCCCCCCCCCCCCCCACCCCCCCCCCCCCCCCCCCCCGACGACGTCTACAACATTAACTCACTTTTAAACATTGATTCTACTTTAAATGTTTGAACAACGGCTTTTGTAACTAAAATTAAAAACATAAAAAAAATTCTCCATAACCCAAAGCTATGAAATCTCAGATACAATTAAGGACTCACAAAATAAGCAGCAAGATTTAAAAAGAAAAGCAAAGCTTTTTGTACTTCCTTTTGGGATTTCAACAACACATACTTAATTCAAAATTCTTTTACTAACTGGTGTTTAAAAACGTTTAACAGTGTCTAACACATGTTCAAATGGCAAAATTTACGCAATTTAACGGGACATAACTACTATGAAAAGCCACATACCTAGAAGCCGTCGCTTTGTTAGTTTCACCAGCCAGTAGAGCGAAGCCAAAGCAGGGGGCCGTTGCCCTGGACATCGGCAGCAAGACGAGATGTGCACACACAGGCACAAAGATACAGAGAATAACTTTCAAGATTCCTTTGTTAAGCGAATTTAATGATGTTGATTCTTTTACTTTGTCATCCAACTCTAGATGTGATCACTTCTCCACACTAGTAACAAAAAGGCACTCTTGTCTTTGACGTTTTCCGCTTTATTTTATCGAGGTAGCAAACTCATTCTAAACTTAAAATCTCCATTCTACAAAACAAAAACAATGGATGGATACATCCCTCTCATAGCTCAACTGTAGATAAAATCGGTAAAAAATTGTGGGGCAAATACCTCACAAAGCTTCATAGCCAACTTTAGATAAAACTCAGTATTCTCCGGTGAACTCTGTTCACTCCAAAAAACAAAAACTCCTTTTTCTGTAGTAATTTACACCGTGATCCTCTGAAAATCTTGTTGCATATGTACTTTTGTCATTTATCAGCCTGAAATTCGTCAATTTCAAAGCTTTTGTAACAAAGGCCTCCTTAACACGTTCCCTTTTTAAAAGTGCCTTTTATTATCTACCCCCCCCACACCAAGGTGTTTCACTTAGGCCTTTTCACTTATGGCTCCTATGACCTTTATGGCCAACATTTTTGGATCCTATAACTTTATGGCCTTTTCACTTAGGATCCTTCACTCTCACTTTATGGCCTTTTCATTATGGATCCTTCCACTCACTTTATGGCCTTTTTCACTTATGGAACCTTCACTCACTTTATGGCTTTTCCACTTATGGATCTTCACTCACTTTATGGGCCATTTCACTTAAGTATCCTTCACTCACTTATGGCCTTTTCACATTATGGATCCTTCATCACTTTATGGTTTTCACTTATGGATCCTTCACTCAATTATGGCCTTTTCACTTATGGGATCCTTCACACACTTTATGGCTTTACACTTAGGCTCCTCACTTATTTGAACACCATTTACAGAGTTCGACAGACCTCAAATACACACCCAAATTTCGCTAGTATCCAATATGCAGACTTTACATATAAAAAAGGTGTCTGCTTAACCTTATTCTTGTCAAACAGGTGCATGCAGGGCTGTCCGAGAGGTCTGCCCAACTCTTTTCCGCGTCGGAATCTTCAATTTTAAAAAACAAAACAGAGAAAGTGAGGGAGCAAGAGCAAGCCCATCCAAAGCGGCCCTATCAGCGTCCGCTGGGATTTCTCCCCTTCCAGATAACGTGCTGTCGCCCCACACGCCGAAAAAAGAACCAGAGAAAACTCCCTTCAAACAATCCCAGCGATTGCACAAAACGAGCCGCGCCATTCTCCACCACATCTGTTAGGATTTAAGCCGACAGAGAGGCTCGTGGTGTGGCAAACTCTCCGGAAGTTTATTTACGTTTCTCTCAAGTTCCATGGTTTACACTGTTTCTTTTCCTCCGACAGAATAAAGGCAGTACAAGTCTATCTAGTTCCATTGTCACGCACACATCGAAAGACTACGTGTCACAAAGAGACCGTCAAATCATCGTCATAACCATGAGTCATGTAGAGTTCCTTGTACAGTCCGCCTGTTAGGCCAAATTGTATCTGAATACCTAAAAATTATTACAAGTGAAGTCAAAATTATCACCCAACCGCAATTTGTAACAAGGCAGGCGCGAGGCCGCTACTTACGCCTCGCGGGTTCCTACCGAAAAAAAACTTTACGGAGCTGTCAGATACTTATGCCCCCCCCCCCCCCACACGAGCCGTTTCCGCCCTGTAAAAACAAACAAAGCACAGAAAGTCCAATTTTGACTTTATAAGTCAACAATTTCGCTTTACAAGTCAAAAATATCGACTTTAAAAGTCAAAATTTCGACTTTAAAAGTAAAAATTTCGCCTTTAAAAGTCAAAATTTACTTTTAAAAGTCAAAATTTCGACTTTAAAAGTCACCAAAATTTTGCCTTTAAACGTCAAAAATTTCGACTTTAAAAGTCAAAATTTCGAACTTTTAAAAGTAACATTTTGACTTTAAAAGTCAAAATTAGAGTTTTCAAACTGGCATGTGCAGTTGAAAACACGCGTATGTGTGCTGTTTTTTCCCTGGAACGGTCTCTGGTCATCCCCGGTTATAGATCACTGACCTGGGGTCATCCTCTACCTGCAGATTATGTGAAGATTTTGCCTACAGACAGTGACCACATCCATGAAAGTAGCCGCACTACTGTTGTGGTTAGTAATCGCGTTAAAAATGCACACCGGTCTCTCCGTTTGCTTGAAATCCGCTTCAGAAGCCTCTATTTAGTTTATCCTAAACGGACTGTGGAAGATTAATAATCCAAAACACATGTGGCTGTTCAAGTCATTGAGCATCAACTTTGGTGGACATCTGTTCCGTTATCCCGGGCTATCGATGGATCGCCCCAGAACATGCCAGTGAAAAATATGTGACTGACAGAGAGACCGTTCCGATTACAGGACAGTGCGGAGGTCCGCAGATGAGGCAGGAGAACCCAGACAGCGGCAGGCGACCCACAGACAAGAGGGCAGGAGAACCACAACAGAGGCAGGAGAACCACGACAGAGGCAGGTAAACCACAGAACAGCGGCAGGAGAACCACCGACATAGGCCGGAGACCACAGAACAGAGGCAGGAGACACCACAGACTGAGGCAGGAGAACCACAGACAGGCGGCAGCGGAACCCACAGTCACGGGCCATGACAATTTACCCTTTTTGATTGCGATCAGTGCATTGAAGAGTATGTGACGTGTTTGCGTGCACGCGGGGGTGAGCTGATGGAGCGTGCGGGTAACGTTGTTGGCGTATGAGCTAAGCAACACCCAGAGGTCATACCGGGAATAAGTACCTTGTTGAAATTTTATTGTTGACAAAATAAAAGCCCAGCCTCTTTTAGCAACAATCCGGAGAAAATAACTCCGCAGTACCAGTGAGGGTCTTTGAAAAAGGGTTAGAAATCGATACAACCCATGATAGATGCATGAATAAAAACCCCGTACTCAACCCGTAGAAGCGCATCCTTTCAGCCGTGGAAATACTCGCTCCGTGTGGCACCCCTCTCCGCGCCCTCGTCTGGTCCAGCGAGTGGTTCTAATAGCAGATTGGATTGGGAATGTCTCGAAGCTCTTTTCCTTTGATTTATTATAACAACGGTATTGCTCACATTATTTGTTACTATGTCGAAATAAGACGTCGTTTGATTTAAATGTTGTATATATGTAAATAGGATTTAACATAAATACATAAAAAGCCAGCTCCTCCCCTGACTCCTACGACCGCCGGTCTGGGGCTAATCCAGAATCAGAATCAGAATCAGAATCATTTTTATTGCCACGTGAGTACACAAAGTTATCACTTGGAAATTGTTTTGGCAGAGAGCGTGCCACTTCGCCATTTGCGGCGCTGTGTTGCAGCAAGAAAACCGCAGAGAGCAATAACATACAGTACACAGACAATTGGATAGACACATTGTGCTTTTTATAAACCACGGGATTTTTTTCTCGGAAGAGCAACTCTTTCGGCCGGCCCAATGTAGCTTTCAGAGGGGGCGGGCGATCAGGGCGGGGGTGGAGTAGGAAAAACAATAAGGACATGGAGGGGAGGGAGGAGCAAGCTGGATAGGTTCGAGGGAGGCGGGGGGTGGGGGTCCTTGCCCAGCATTATGAGGGCGGGATAACCGTGGTAACAAGAATCTACTGACGGAGGAAAACACACAACTCATCAGTCTCTTTGACCGGCTCAATCTCACGCATGGAGCGCACCGCGTCATTTATTGGGTACAGACATACACTTCCGGTTTGACCCTTCAGTGTAAGAGCATACACACACACATATATATATACACAGATACCTACAAGGCAACACCCCCACTTGCTCTTAACACGGCAAGAAAAATACACAGGCATATTTACATTACATTTACACATTTACACTCCAAACAGAAAATTTGCGAACTTTTCCATTCTAACTTTGCTCACTGATTTAGTCATTACATCAGCTACCATGTCTGCTGTTGCACAAAATACAACATTTATTTTGTTCTCATTTAGTGCAGAACGAATGAAATGGAATCGAATGTCAATATGTTTACATCTTTGTCGGTTAATAGGGTTTTTGGACAATGCAATTGCACCCTGGTTATCTGCATACATGGTAACAGGTAAATATTGCTTTTCTGAGTCCAATCCTTTAAGTAGTTGTGCAAGGTATAAACTCTCTTGTACTGTGGCGGCCATCGCCATGTACTCCGCCTCACACGTTGACAAAGCTACCGTAGCCTGCTTTCTGGTTTTCCAACATATGATAGGCCCACTCTCAGATAGTGCAAAACAGTAGCCTGTTGTACTTCTCCTGTCACACAAATCTGTGGCCCAATCTGCATCACTGTATGCTATAAGGCTAAGGTTACCGTCTGCCTTTCTATAACATAGCTCTTTGTTTAGTGTCCATTTTAAGTAGCGTAGCACATGTTTTGCTGCTGTCCAGTGATGTTCTTTTGGTGCAGACAAGTATTGTGATAGTTTACTCACTATCCAACTTAAATCTGGTCTTGTGGATGTCATTAAATAAATCAGGCTGCCCACTAGTTCTCTGTATCTACCAGAATCTACTAGTTCACCTTCTACTTCGAAGTTTTGTTTCAGCTCACAAGGAGTGGAACGTGGCTTACAGTCTGACATGTTAAATCTTTCCAGTATTTTTGTTATATACCTGGTTTGATTCATCTTTACTCCTAGTTCGTCTTGTGTACAGTCAATCCCCAAAAAATGTTGTAGCTTACCAAGGTCTTTCATTTTGAATCTCTTACTCAACATTTCCTTTACATTTTTAAGAGAATTCTCACACTTTGCACCAATAATAACATCATCAACCCAAATAATAAGAATTACAGTCTCGTTCTTAGTCTGTCTACTATAGACACAATGATCTACAGGATTTTGATGAAAACCATTTTCACATAAATGATCATGTAACATTTTATTCCAGTTCCTCCCTGATTGTTTCAAACCATACAATGATTTATTCAACTTATAAACTAGCTTCATACCAGTCTCTGACTTAACTTCGTAACCATCTGGTTGCTCCATATACAACTCACAATCAATAGGCGCGTGCAAGTAAGCAGTTTTTACATCCATTTGGTGAAGTTTTAAGTCGTACTGTGCTGCCATCTGCATTAAACAACGAACTGACGTCATGTCTGCAGTCGGCGAAAATGTTTCCTTGAAGTCAATCCCAGCTACTTGGCTGTAGCCTTTAGCAACATATCTGGCTTTAAATGTCTCAGATTGGCCTGGGCTCTCCTTTTTTGTATACACCCATCTTCCCCCCACTGCGTTTTTACCTTCTGGCAATGTGGTCAGGGTAAAAGTGTCATTTTCTTTTAGCGATCTCATTTCGTCCTCCATGGCATTAGACCAACACCCGGACTCCGGAGAGTGCATAGCCTCATCAAATGTCTTTGGTACGCCGTACATCAACCTGTAACAATAGTCAATGTTCATCAAAGTTTGGTCATCATCCGCATAAACATAGTCTTTCAAATATTGTGGAGTCTTTCTATCTCGTCTCGGATATCGTCCTTCAGTGTTTTCACTGTGTTTCTCCGGTCTTTGTTCACTGTCACTTGTCACATTGTCCTGTGTTTCAGTGTCCGGCTCTTTTGTCTCTTCCATACTTTTATTGATTGTCTTGTCCAACCTTTTACAGTATATTCCAACTGGTTGAAAATCATCTTCGTCCAGAGTCTTTTCGTTCTGGCACTCATCTCCACTTGTAGTGAGGAACTTAACCAATCTGTGTTTGAGAACTCGACCCGTTTCTGGATAATAGACAAGATATGACGGACTGTTTTTATCGTATCCCACAAAAACTCCCTCATCACATTTTGCGTCTAGTTTTTTTCTGTTTTGTCGATAACTGAAACAAACTGATCCGAAAACGTGCATTTTAGACATGTCAGGCTTTCTCCCTGTCAACAAATAGTAAGGGGTCTGTCCTGTGCGTCTGTTGTAACACCTGTTGCGAATCACTGCAGCAGTCATAACAGCATAAGTCCATAGTCTTTTAGGTAAATTACTCTCAAGCAACATACAACGTGCCATCTCAAATAGTGTTCTCCAATTTCTCTCGGCCGTCCCATTCTGATGGGGTGAGTACGGTGCAGAGGTTTCATGTCTTATTGCGTTCTTTCTAAGTAATGATTGAAACTCTCTGGAAGTGAACTCTGTGCCGTTGTCTGATCTGATTCTTTTCACTTTCCCATAGGGGGCGACATCTGCTAGAAATTTCTCAATCGCTTCTACAGTGTCACTTTTAGCTTTCAAGAAATAAACAAAAGTTGTACCTGAATAGTCGTCAGTAAAAGCTATAGAGTATCTGAACCCGTCTTTTGCCTCTGGGTCAATCGGTCCCGCTAAGTCAGTGTGCACTAGCTCTAACGCCGCTTTTGCTCTCTCGTCAGGCTCTCTACTTCTGGTTTGTATAAACTTTCCTTTAACACACACTTTACAATCTTGCTTAGCTTTCCCTTTGATCTTCATACCCATAGTAACATTTTCTAGTTTAGACAAATCTTCATAATTACAGTGTCCAAGAATTCTGTGCCAAGTTTCAATATCATGACATCCATTGCATTCATCATAGTCATTGTTTACCTCAACTGTACTCAGGTAGTACAAGCGTCCATATTCATTGATGTCGAACCTTGTACCATTCTTGTGAACAAGTTGGTTGCATCCTTTCTTGAATGTGACTGCTGCTCCGCTGGTCGTCGCTGCCTGGACTGAGAAGATGTCCTGTGGATATGAGGGGATGTAAAGTGCTCCTTCCAGCGTTGCCTTTACACGGTGTCCCTCGCTGTCCTGCAGGTAGACTTCTGCCGCTCCTCTCTTTAGCGCGACACCACTCGCTCTCGTCCCGTCCGCCAGCTCCATGAAGTGACTTTCCGGTGTGAAAGCATCGTCAAACCTTTTGAAACTTTTAATGTTCGTTACAATGTGAGACGTGGCTCCTGTATCGACCATCAAGCCTCTCTGTTTCAGCCCCGGAACATTCCAGTCATTTACTTTGAATGCAAAACTATGATCTTCAGAATCTGCAACATGTTTAACATTCGTCTTTTTTTTTAGTCTACAATTATTGTCTTTATGTGTGGAACTGTTGCAGTAACTACACCACTGCTTCTCCTTAGACTCAGGTCTGTCACTCTTCGCATAGCATTCACGTGCAATATGACCTTTCTTTCCACAGTTGTAACATTTGATCTCTACATTGTCTCTGTTTTTATTTCTCTGCCAGTTACTCATCTTCATTACGTTGTCTTCTGAGTTTACAGGCTTTTCTGTGATCTCGTAGCTCCTTAGCTTTGCTTTGAACTCGCTGAATTTGATTTCTTTTTCGCTCTGGGTAATGTGGATGGAAAATGGCTTGAAACTTTCAGGCAATCCTTTTAGTACCATTGCCACAAGCAACCCATCGCTCAAAGTCTCTTCAGCATTTCTTAAAGCTGTGATGGCATTCTCTGCTCGTATGATATAGTCTGTCACGCTCTCAGTCTTCTGAAGCGATGTTAGCTCCGTGTACAGGCTAATAACACGAGTCTTGCCTTTACCAGAGTAGTGCTCTCTTAGTATCTTCAGCGCTTCTCTTCCATTGTCTGTAGCTTCTCTCATCACAAGTGAGAGGCTTCTATCGTCCAAGACTTGAATAAGCTCAGCATAAGCTTCTTCGTTCTTAGCTTCGTGAGAATCTTCATCTTCCTCGTGCTCACCTGGCTCGTTCAAAATGGCCTCCTTCAGCCCGAGCAGCCGCAGGTGTCCCAAGAATTTAGTTTCCCACAGTTCATAATTTCTTTCGTCCCCGTCGAAGCACAATCGGTTCCATCGGCCTCCTCCATCCCTTCTGGGCCCATAACCTGTTGATCGCAGCATTATGAGGGCGGGATAACCGTGGTAACAAGAATCTACTGACGGAGGAAAACACACAACTCATCAGTCTCTTTGACCGGCTCAATCTCACGCATGGAGCGCACCGCGTCATTTATTGGGTACAGACATACACTTCCGGTTTGACCCTTCAGTGTAAGAGCATACACACACACATATATATATACACAGATACCTACAAGGCAACATAAAGCATGTGCACATTGTAATTGGGAGCAATGTTGTACTTAGTAGGTTCATATCAAATCTTAAACCTGTAACCAATTACATTTCTGAAAGTTTAGTTTAAAGTAAAGCATGAACTAATCAGACCAGTCATTAGTTCACGCTGAAGTCTTTCCCCTCACAAGAAAACAGGTTGCACTTTAAATCAAGTCATCATTTGAGCTTTAGGCTGAGGGAGGGTCGTCTTCTCTCAAATGCATGTGCAAAACGAGTGATAGAAGCAAACTGATCAAAATCACAAGACATTTAATATTAAGAAATTTATTGAAAATTTATAATTTAAATATTTAAACATTTAAACATGTATACAGTCATAAAATTAAAAACATTAGAAGACTCATTCACTCATTATCGTCCTTTCCCTCCTGCAAAGACAAACACAAGCTTAGTCATGGCTTTAGTGTGACGCATTTACAATGTGAAGGAGGAGGCACCTCTCGGTTTCCCAGGTTTGTAGCAGTCATAGTAGCCTTCTTGTTGACTGTGAGGGCGGTCTGTGGGACGATACAAGGAAAAGTGGTTCGAGTGGCTCCATGATGGGGCGACAGACTACTGAGTGAGAGCATTTCCATTGGCACCTGGTCCTTTAGTCCCTTTGGCCCTGGTTCTATCCAGGCTGAGCTGGATCCAATGTATTCTAACAGACGATTTCCCAGAATTCTGGCACATGGTCCGACACCAAAACTGAGCTTATGATATGGCCCTTATCCTAATACGACCATTATCATTAACCTGGACCACTGCCGCTTTTCACCTTTACTCAAAGGTGTGAAGGGATTAACCAAAACTGTCCCAAGTTTAGTCTTTGTGTTCACATTATTTTGGTTGCACAAAGTTTTGATTTCTTGCCAATTTAATATTTGTGTAATATAGAAGCAAAGGAAAACCCCTATCAATGGTGCGATTATCGTCATTTCCGGACTATAAGCCACTTTCTCTTTGATCCTGAGGCTAATGGTTAAGCAGTTAAACATCATTGAATTATGTCGAGTCCATCTGCTACATTAAACATTAAAACCTGCGACTTAAGGTGATAAACAGCACTGTTTGTCCAATCTTTCGAGTACTGGTGAAACGCAGAACACTCACATGGGCCCTTGTTCCTGAACCTCTTCTTGGGTCCGTTTGCGAACATGAAGCCGTCAGAGTGTGTGCTCATGTTTTGGACATCTGGAAAAACCATAGTTACTTTAAAACTGGAATATTTCTACAGCAAATTGATTAATGACACTCAAGTTCTCATTAACCAATTGATAAAAAAAAAAAAAAAAAAAAAACATTAACAAATTCAGTCCAGTTGGTTGCTGCAGTACACAACAGCCCTTTAAATTTTTACTCCGGAGTACATCCAAAAGCAGCCCAGTTTCAAAGTCCTCACCTGAATAAAAGTAGTGTTTGCGGCTCGTCCCTAAGTTGCTTCTCGTTTGCAGATCCGGACACTGAACGCCGCAGTCCACAAGGTTTCCCCTGGAGGGCGACACTGCAGCAGGAGGCGGATCTGGAACCACTAAACACCGCGTCGGCTTCCCTACCAATGTCTTTTTCTCCAAAGCCTTGTCCTCGCAGGCAATGTGAAGCGAAGTAAGAACCAACTCCTCAGCCACGCCCCCGGGCACCTCCGCCTGCACCGGCTCAGCTTCATTCATCAAAACAAGCTTGTGTTCATCTTTTTCCCCGTTTTCTTCCACTGTGAAAGAAAGTCGCTTTAGGCTTCCCTCTGGCTCGGAAGCTTGTTTTTTGTCAATTTCTTTGACAAGCATTCCAGCAGACTTTTGTTTACTAATAGAGTCTAGAATAAGGATAGAGCTTTGCATTTTATATTTATGGGGCTCGCCAGCCTCTACAGTGGTCGCCGGCGTGCTGAAGTCGAAAAAGCTGTCTGACAACTGCACAGAATCTGTTAAAGAGTCATGACTTCTAGGGCTGTCCGCTGTGCCATTTTCGGCCTCTTCAGCAGTTTCTAAAATCACTTCGTTGCCTGCGGTGATATTCTGCATGAGCCATTCTTTTGTGGGAACATACAACGGGAGCGATTCCACCGACCAAACAGACTCGTCGAACTCGTGCCGGCCCTTTCTGCTCTGCTCAGCGTCGCACAGTTTAATTGAAATGTTTAGTGAGCTTTCGAATGCATCGTAGCCCAAACTAGTCCTGACATTTTGCTCTTCAACATCTCCCTCAGCTTCCAGTTGCTCCTCGTTGACAGCGGTTGAACTTCGGTCAAACTTCTCGCGGTTATCGTTGGCCGTCTTGTCCACTTGGGGCGGGCCGTTTCCCCATTTTAACAGAATATCTGGCACAGAAGCCCTCCTCTTTTCGAACATTTCTTTACCAACGGGGTCCATCACCTGCTCTTGCCTCAGGTGGACATCACCAGGTAAGCTTAGAGAGTTCAGTGGACATTGCCCTTGTCTTTGTAAATGTCTTTCTTCTGGATTTGACGTTGACAAATCACGCTTAGCGCTTCCAACACATGAAATACTCAAGTTTTCAGCCGCTTCACAATTCTCCACATTTGCCGGCTCATGGCTCGGTGTGGATGACGCTGGAGAGTTTACCAATTGAACACCATGAGTTTCCAAACACAGCGACTTGTTCATAACTACATGTTGCACGGTCTGCTCTTCTCTTTGATTGTCCATCTCTAAACTTGCATTAGTATTGCTTCTACTGCAGGCAATAGTAAGGTGCAAGTCTTTTGGCGCATTCTCCACATTAGACTCAGACTTTTTCCGGCTGGAAGTGGAAGACGTTGGAGAGTTTAAGGCGGTTTCACGGCCAGAGTCTGTGCTGCTTGTGCGCGGGCTTCTTTGGTGAAACTCTTCCCCTCTGTAGTCTGTCTGGACTTCGATGCTCACGGTTTCACGAGTGTGTAACGGGCGTGCTCTCCTGTTCTGGCTGGGGTAGGGGGCGCTGTTTGGGTGGGTGCGTCTGTAGTCCATAGGCTGCACTGGCGCATGGGGCAGGAAGTAGGCGGGAGGGTCCATGTATGGCAGCGGAGGGAAGGGAGGCATCATCATACTGTAACCTGCAAAAACAAACACCTCAACATCCTCCTGCAGAATAGACAAGCAGATGAGTAGCAGACATTTAAGAACACATTTTACCCCATGTTGGTCGTAGACAAAAACATCCAGGCTACCACTTTGTCACACATTTTTGCAGTACGGTTTAGTATTTTGTATTGTACCAAGAGGAAACTCCTTGGTAACCATGGCTTCTAGCAGCACTGGCCAATCACTGTCAGTTAGAACTTTAGTACTAGCTCAGCCTAAATAGAACCCGGAGGGGATAAAAGACACATACGGGTTAAACAGCATGGCGGAAACGCTCCCCATTAGGGGAGAGCCAAGGCGGCGGTGGAAACGGCTATTCCATATAATTCAAAGATTGAATTATTCTACTCTATACATATACACACGTAAAATACTGTAGCCACAGCTGCCCTGGGACACACTGACAGAAGTGAAGCAACCGGTCTGGGCCATCGACTCCTCCCACCACCACAAACTATTCACATACATACACCCATTCTAATGGAGGTAAGGCATCTTGCCAAAAGACAAGAATGGCACTTTACAGGCACCCCCCAGCATCTGACTTTCACTGGCTGCGCCACATGATTTAATGAGCTCCAATTAAACAAATATAAAGCCGTTTCTATAGTCACTGGTGAGGCTTTACTTGGTCATTGAATTATAAAACACTCAAAAAAGGACTCCAATAATTACAGTCCTGGAAGAAGAGTCTCGCTCACTCACCCATGCCGGGGAAGGGGTTGAAGGGATGATTGTAGAAGGGCATGGGCCACTGGTACTGCATGAAGTGGGGAGGAGGGGGGTGCACGTAGAAGAGGGGGCGGTGCACAAGCTGCGGATGGGCATGTCCTGGATCCTGTCCCATGGGGGGATGGCTAGGGTGGCTTCCCTGGGCAGAGCGGGGGTTTGGGGCTTCAGGCTCCGCACAGGGCTGAGGCAGACTGGATGCTGCTGTGGACATCTTCAATCTGAGCAGAAGACGAGTTTAGCCGTGAGGGAGAGACTGCTCAAGCTAGGAGGCATCTGTCTGAAATGCCATTTGTTGCCAAAAAAATTCACACAACACACCAAACCCTTGCATAGAAAGAGCCCCGTGAGTAACCATTACACTTTCGGCTGAAGGTTTTGTGTGTGAAAAAGCTGATCTAAAAAGATGAGACTGAGGCCAAAATACATGTAATTGAACAATTAGTTTTAGAGCTTGCAACTAGAGACATTTCTTTATAACAAAGTTCTGTTGTGATCTGGAAGTCAAACACCCCAGCTTTAATAAGGTTAAGGCTAGCTTTCAGCAGGGACAGAAAAGATTTGAGTTCATACATTTGGACTACTACAAGATGTCGCTGAAGTAGCTTCTCAAAAACAAGATGATTGAGGTGAAGTTTGTATTTCCTCTCCCAGGTTTTATGTATTTACCTGCAATAACCGCAGATTTCCAGACAGTGTGTTGTGATCTTAGCGTTTTCTCTTGCAACAGCAGCGCGATGAAAAAAACCTGTACAGGTGAGTTTAAGTAGGTGTGATGGGCGCAGCTGCGGAGGCAGAACCCGGAAGTGAGTGGACTGATCAATCCGGGAACCATATGGACCATAACACCGCACAGACGTAGACGATACGTGGTAGTTTGAAGCCAAGATGATAACATACATACGCATTGTTATTTATTAACTCATTGACTGCCAGCCATTTTTCGAACTCTTCACTAATTTTCAAGACTCACAGAATATCGTATGACTATGAGAAAACCAGAGTCTGAAAGACTGGACTGTCTACTTTCAGGAGCAAAAATAAGTTTGTTTCTCACTCCTGTAATCGCCAGTCGAAAAGGGGGAAAGTGACAGAAAGCGTCAGTCTTAAGGGGCGTTCACACCGGACTTAACTTCGGCGTCAAAAGCGTCAGGTTTCCATTGAAAGTGAATGGTGAAGCGCGTCAGGTGAAGCCGAGAGCCCCGGCGTCACTTGACGCGCGTCAAAAGCTTCAAGAGTCGCGCGTACTAGCTGAGAAATAGAGGTGTTTGTTGTTTGCTATCACAGACGCACCATGCAGAAAAGTGATCCTTAAACATGTCCAGTATCTTACATACTAGAAAAAAACAAGTTATTAGAACGAGTTTTTGATGCAAAATAATAGGTTTTATGGCACACACACCCACATCCACAAAGTGTTGCTCGAATATTTCAAAACAGTAAGTCACAGAATAACAAGATTACAGTGATAAACACTATAAATGACAATAAACCAAAGTGGACACACTAGATACCAATAGTATAAGTGCAATAGACAGACAGACAGATTAAGATGAAGAGATCCTTTATTCGTCCCACGGTGGGGACATTTCAGTGTTGCATCACATGTTATAGAACAGTAGGAAAAAGGAGCACAAGATAAATGAACAATAGCTATACTAATTAAAATAAAACAAATTCTCTTACTCTAGCCTCAATAACAAGTGGAGCCTGAAGTAGAGCTGTTCATTTTGGTGAAGCGGAGCCTGTTTGAGTGTCCTGCAGGCCCGTCGGAAGGGCTGTGCGACCTGTGCCGTCGCAATCCTTCCTTTTTTTATTTTTTTATTAAATAAATATACTAGTTCAAGAGTCCCCAAAGGGTGGACTGCGCTCCAAATTCGGACCCCTAATCCCCTTTCTCTGGACCTCTGATTTCTTTTGTTCAAAAGTACATTATTACAAGTGAAGTCAAATTTTCACCAAAAGCAATTTGTAAACAGGCAGGCGCGAGGGCAGCTATGTACGCAGCGGGTCCTCCGAAAAAAAACTTTACGGAGCTGTCAGATAACTTTAGCAGTGTCTGAGTGAAGAAAGTAACGGGAATGAGCGCAGTGTACGGAGAGATGGATACTCGGGTCTTCCGTGTGAGGAGGAGGAGAGAGGAGTGTGACCAGAGGAGGAAGAGGAGGAGCTGCGAAACAGGTGTGTGAGCGCTGTTATTGTCAATGTTGAGCCCGAATATCCACATCAAAAAAATATTATAAAAGCATTAGCAAACACTCTATGTCCAACGTTCATGCTACTGTGAGTGCAGTGGATTTTGGGCATAAAAATGTGGTCAGAGTGTGTGGAGGAGGAGGAGCAGGAGAAGGAGCGTATGTTGTGAGTGTGGACGCATGGCAAAAACGTTATTTGAGGAGGAAAAAAATAACAAATATTGACTCCGCCTCATAGCCATTTTGGCGCATTTTGCCGTAATCTAACAATTAGAAAAAGAAGAAGACTCCTTTTGGTTCAATCTTTTGAGTTGCTGCCATTTTGCCACAGGACGAAAGAGCCATGTCAGCTAAAAAGACCGCGACCAATATACCAATGCCAAGCGCGGTAACAGTTTGTGTGTGGGTGCGTGCGTGTGTGCGTGCGACGCTGCATTGGAGCGAGGACACACGTCTGCACGCGTGCTGATCTCTTCACGCACAGCGCGAGGCGGTGCTGAATTCATGTCGAATATTATAACATGAAAAACTTTCCTGAGATCTGGGAAAAAGGTGTCAGGGCAGGGCCTCGCGTTTCAAGTTCGCACAGGGCCTCGCACCCCCCTTGCGACAGGTCATCCATCATCCATTCTGTGTGTATAAGTATTGTGTGCCAATATGTATTTCCTGTATCTCAAAGTATTTACCTTCAATTTCTGCGCTCCCTACTTGTTATTATGTTGTCGTGTGCCACCTGCATCTCTGTAGAAGCGTCCATCACATTGGGGCACGCTGAATAATAAGCCCTGCTTTATTTGTACAATATGTGTATTGTGCTTGTGAGTGTATTGTTTAGTAGAGCCCATTTCTGTTAGACAAATAGTTTACTTTGACTTTTCTCTCACAAAGTTCCACGTGTGCCACGGTCTATAGAGCTAGAGCACCCCCCTGTGGGGAATGTTTGTAATACCACTTAGTTAATACAGTGTATCTGTGTTCATGGTCAAAAGGCTATTTCTAATGTACATACTGTAAAATACTTAAGGGAATTCGTATGACTGAGTCATGTACAAGAGCCGGAGGAGCGTTACTTCAAGTGTGTTTATTTCACGAGTTCTGGCTACGGGTAGCCGCAGGGACATAAATGCAGTTGCGCACTAGCCATATGATGCATACATTACATCCCCCTTCCTCAGTAATAACAATACACATGAAAGAATATCTGCTGAACAAAAGTGCATTCATTATTATTAACAATAAACTTTTCTTGTGTGAATAAAACCACAACAAACTTTAACTTTTTTTTCCCCACCAGGTAAACACAACCAATGAATTAGAAGTGTGATCATTTTACAAGTTCAGCTTATCAGGTGGTTTCACCGCTCTGCCCCGTCTGGTATGATACTGCCCTCCTGCTTGTATTTGTGGACATTGGGGGACCACAGAGGGTGAACCTGGTGATTCCGGGGCGACAGTTGGACACTGCTCCTCAGCTGCTGATGTCACTGGTGGTTCACGCCAGGGCTCTTCATCAGGTGTGACGTGACGTGGCTGGTTGGCAGTTGCAGTGCTGTTGCGGAGATGTTGGCTTGTACGGCGATACAGCTTACCTCCGCTGTCCACCACATAGGAGCGTGGAGCACTGTAGGGCTGCACAACTACTGCAGGGGACCAATTGTGTTTGCCAGGATGAGGTGTGTTAAGCATATTTGATATAATAAGCAAAGCCATGTTAAATAGTGTACGTGGTGATGTCATGTGCCTGCGTGCACTAGTTTGTTATTGTGTGCATGCGCAATAAAATATAGTGCCGTGAGTTCGTGCACCAGAGTGATGATGGCGTCTTGTTTTCTCCCGTGAATAGAAAGCGCTAACTGACCACATTGGTGACTGATGGCAAACGCTACAGGTTATGGGCCCAGTCATCCAGGCCAACGGTGGTTTAGACTTTTATTCGACGGTGATGAGAAAAACTACGAACTCTGGGAACGTCTGATGAATCCCAAACAAGAAGAGAGGATCGGAAATGGGACACACCACATCGAGGAAGAGGACACGGGCGAGGACGAGGCCGTGACCATATAAAGAAAGCCAATGGGGGGGCAGATGGTTACACAGAACCTACATCTTTCTGTTTCTTCAAGTTAAGCGACTGTCCTCCACAAAAAGGAAACAAGAAGGGCCTCATGGTTGACTGTGGCGCCACAACACACCTAATAAATGACGCCACAAAGTTCAAGACATTAAATTTAAATTTATTCTTTAGAAGTGTTTTTTATTCTTATTTTTATTATCTCTTTCTGACTGTTGCACTGAGCCAAAGCAATTTCCAAGTATGTGACCTCCTGTTACTTACGTGGCAATAAAAATGATTCTGATTCTGATTCTGATTCTGAGAGCTTCAGACCTGAGGACCACATGATTGAACTTGCCGATGGGACCAAGGTGAGCGGGATGGCGAAGATGAGAGGAGACGCCGAAGTTTACTTGCTGGACAGCGAGGGACGTCGAGTCAAGACAAGGCTCAAGCAAGCGCTCTTCATTCCGTCGTTTCCACAAAACATTTTTTCCGTCAAATCAGCAACAGCCAACGGAGCAGAGCTACACTTCAAAGACGGTAATAACTGGCTGGTCCACCAGGATGGTACAAAGTTCAAAATGGATGTGTATAGTAGACTGTATTATCTTAGCACAATGGAAGATGAAAATGTTGATGAGGTGTATGGATGTCATGACATTCAAACATGGCATAGGATTCTTGGTCATTGTAATTTTGATGATATTACAAGATTAGAAAAGGTGGTTGAAGGGATGTCAATTAAAGGGAAACATGACAAGTCCAACCAAAACTGTGAAATATGCACACAGGGAAAATTCACACAAAACAGAAACAAACAAGCAGACGCTAAGGCTACAGCTGTATTTCAGCTAGTGCACACAGACCTGTGCGGCCCTATAGAGCCAGCCGATAAAGATGGACACAGATATGCAATAGCATTTACTGATGATTATAGTGGGATGATTTTTACATACTTCATCA